TACCAAGATGCCTCTTTGCTTCGGACTTCTTGTCCTTTGTAAAAATATTAAATAATAAATAATATCTAATATACAACATAACCAGTGTGGAGTGCAGCTAATCAACCAGGGTAGGTTTACTGTGAGATCAGACAGTAACTTGTGTACATAAAGTATGTATAAGTACTTTTGGTTGGGGTAATAATACGACATGTTAAAGTAAACAGGTTGGCTCCACGTCTTCCAGTGACGTTTCACAGTGAGACGTTACCCTGATGTGACCCAGAAGAACTGCAGCCATGTTTGGTTCTGTCCCCACAGGAAGTCAGTGCGTTTGGAGAGAACGGCGAGGGAGACGACCTGGACGTGTGGACGGTTCAGTGCGATGGCGAGTACTGGGAGCGGGACGACGTGGTGCGCTTCAAACACGTGGGCACCGACGTCTTCCTGAGCATCACCGGCGAGCAGTACGGACACCCCATCCGAGGTCAGAGGGAGGTGCACGGCATGAACTCCCCCAGCCAGCACAACTTCTGGCGCACGATGGAGGGGGTCTTCATCCAGCCCAGCCTGGAGCCACTGCGCCACGATGAGCTGTGACATCATCACTCAGGGACAGAAGGTCTGGAGACGTGGGGGCTTCCCACGACCGATTGTTGAGTAAATGAAGTGACTCTTAAAAACGTGATGGTTAGAACCTGTGTTCGTCCTGCTGCTTTTACTGGTTTCTTCTTTGTTTTTGTTATTTTTACGTGAAATAGCCTGTTTAAAACTGAAGGTCTCTGAGTTAAACACACTGAGTTTCACTTCTTATTCATCTCTGACATAATCTCATGGGAGAGAGCAGGGGAGAGGATTCAGATTGTTCTTTAAAAGATAAACTCTCTGTTGGTAATAATGATGTTTGAAGTTTTTATTTGTTCTGGTAGCAGTGAATAAATGACAGTACAGCACTGTTAGAACTGTGACTCCTGCTCTGATGAACAATTTTTGTTTTACTTGGGAAATTAAACCTCTGTGACCCAGCAACACATAAGTCGAAGTATCAGAAGATGAGATGGAAATAAAACAAGTCCTGCTCAGAACTACACTCCTGCTAAACTTGAACCACTGAGGAGACTGATTCTGTAAAACAGTTCAGCCTCAGAGACATACTGTTTGAGAGGAACATTTAAAAGATGACATTTTGCTGATAACAGAAGTCTGCACACCTTGAAACTAATAATTATTTGAAGCATCTTCTGGTTTAAGTCCAGCCTCCATCATGGCAGGAGGTTCTCAGCAGACAGCAGGACCTTTTGAAGCTGGTCTTCTTTTTACATAACTAATAAAGTCTGGTGTAGAAGAAGAATTCTGTTTGTTACATTCGTTTTGATTATATTCAAGAATATTCCTCTAGTTAACCATCTTCACGACATCCGTCCCTCTCTAAACATATGTCCATACAGACAAACACACAAGGTTTGAAGACTCCTCCATGTGGCACCTCCTCTACAAACCCCACAGCTTTCACCTGCATCAGGTCTGTTTCAACGTCTTGGGTTGAAACAGTTCAGCACTGATGTGATGTAATGAGGCTTTGTTCAATGTAGTCACGTGATCATGGGCTCTCTAAAACAGCACTCCTAACATCCTCTCTCCACAGCAAAAATGTACAAAACAGGGTTTGCAATAAAGGACAGCACTTCAAAAGCAGATACAAGATATAATGAGACAATGGAAAGATAAGTTTAAAGATCATAAGGGAGATTTATATCTTAAGGATAGGAAATACAATAAAATATAGCTAGGAGAAGGAAAAAACAGACAATAAATAAATGACTCATTTGCTGAAAACTGGAGCAGGAGGTGTCTAACATGTTACCCTAACATCATTGGTACAGAAAGACTCACCTTGTGTTCCACAGAGACTCTTGTGTAAGCCTCAAACTGCCTGTCTTTGTTGCCTCTTCAGATTCCCTCACTGTTATGTGGATGTTTTCAGAGAGGAACCTCACCTGTAATCATCACTGCACTTTCCTGCAGGTGTGCAGCCTACATGAGGAAGCTGCTCTCTCCCTACACTTCTGTTTCTGGCTGTTCTCCCCAACTACTCATTTTTTTAATTTCAATAAAACCTTTAGTTAACTCCACCATTTCTGTCTTGTGGTCTCATTATTTTTACATCCTTTAGAGCCAGCTGGTTTAACACTTGCCTAATGAAATCAGTGACCTGCAACAAAGACAAAATTTCTTACTCCAACTCAGAGTTGTAAAGTAACTAAATACAAATACTTTGCTACTGTAATTAAGTAGAAAATTTGATTCTTTACTTGAATAATTTTTTTCAGCTGATTTTTACTTCTACTCCTTACATTTTCATACAATTATATGTACTTTCTACTCCATGCATTTTAAAAAAGGCAAAAAGTTGTTTTTCCGGCTTGTTTATTTTTTTAATTGAAAACTTAAAATCAGAGGCATCTTTTCAAWGAGAGCAGAGGATGAAGCTAAATGAAGACCAACAAAGAAGACGGGAATGTGCTGAGGCAACAGACAGCTGACAGCCCAGATTAACCTGGATCTGACCCAACAATCGGAGAGGATCAGTGGAAATGGGACATTAGGTAAAGTAGTGTACTAAGTCACCAGTCACTGAATATTAAAATTGTGATTGTCAGGAAATATTTGACACCTTCAATAAGGTTTTCAAAATAGACCCATATAACACACATGTTAGCACACAGCCTGTCAGGGATGAGGCTATATGTAGAGGTTCTTATTTTTATACACTTTTACACTCATCTGATACATGTGTCCTTAAAGTCACTTTACATTTTTACAGATGTCCTACTAAATAAAATTTAGACACATCTTATTACATAATGAGGAGTTGTCTTTTGCTGCTCCCTTTATGGGTGACCACAGCAGATGATCTGCCTCCACCTCACCCTATACCTGCCTCCTCTGCTACAGCAGGTAAAATAAGTATTGAACACGTCACTATTTTTCTCAGTAAATATATTACTAGAGGTGCTAATGACATGAAATTTTCACCAGATGTTGGTAAC